GAGAACACTTTTGACATTGCCCTTCAGTACATCGAGCAGAATTTAAACTCAACTCCTATGGATATTTTGTGGATCAAGAAATTGCGGAACACTTCAGCTAAGTCTAGAATTTCATCTGCTGAACTTTTTTCAGTACAGTACACTCTTCCACTTTTTTTATCATTGATAATAACAACAACTTTGGTGTGATTCATTACAATGTTTGTAAGATATAATTCAATACTGTAGGCTACATTAGATTTAGTTCAAACGTTTTGATTTATCTGTTAATACGCTTCATTAAATGACTTTTATTAAGTATTGCCTATTTACTGATAATCTGACCTTTTTTGTGTTCCGACCATACTTGAAATTTTGTAAATGACAATCTCACCACGAGCGTTTGATATATTCACGATGGTTCCGTGATCGGGTAAGATGTTCATGGTAACGCCGTGACCGCGGGAGATTTGACGATCGCGGCGTGAGTGTTGGGCATATTGACGATGGTGCCGTGATTGCGAGATATGTTCAAGATTACGCCGTGCCCAGGAAGGTCGGATAACTGAGATCTACTGTACCTGCAAAACAAATAGCCTATATTCTGTTTAGAGAATATAGATCAGATCAGTAATGAATAGATGTAATGTATTCTAATAACCTGTCTTATAAACATTTATCTGAAACAGCTGTAAAATGTTATGTTTACATTTTTTCCTATAATAATAAAAAGTTCTGTTTGGTTCTAACATTTAAAAGAATCATTTTTATTACTGAAATATGTTTTAGTGGCGACGAAGACGGGATTTTTAATGACTCATACACTTTTCTACAGGATAAACATTGAAATTACCATACTATCATGACTGAAGACCTTTCAACAATTTTATCAACGTTTGTTCAACAGCAGGCTATACTTTTGAACAAGTTCAATGAAATCACTCAAACCCATGCACAGAATCCAAAACCTTCAACACCCCAGAACGGAATCACATCATTCAATTTCGATTCATTTGATGAAAATCATGAAGATTTCAATTCATATAGACAACGACTTGAAAATTACTTTCATTTGAAAAACATTACAGGAAACAAAGATGAAGTACAACAAATCAAAGCACGAATATTGATCAATTGTATTGGACCAAAACATTATCAACTACTAGGTAGTCTTGTATCTCCAGACCTACCATCAAACAAAAGCTACGACGAATTGATTAAAATAGCTGAAAATCATTTATGTCCAAAACCCAATGTTTTTGTGCAACAACATACTTTTCTATCACGTGTTCAAAGTCCGAAAGAGTCCATATCTGAGTTTGTAGCTGCACTAAGAAGACTTACATTCACATGCAATTTCAACTGCCCTTCTTGTGAATCTTCAGTGGTCGATTTGTTTTTACGTGCACAATTCATTCGAGGATTACGAGATGAAACAATCAGTGAAAAGATTCTTCAGCATCCAGAATTGACTTTTGAAGGTGCGTATGAACAGGCTCTGTCTCTTGAAGCATCAAAAAAGGGTTGCATAACATTTCATGGAACTGATTCGATAAACAAAGTTTCAAAAGTTTTTCGTACAAAAAACTATGATTGTGATAACACATCAACAAAACAAAGTCAAAATAATCAAAAGAAGTTTTATGAGCACCTTGGAATTTCAGGACTATGTGTGCGTTGTGGTGAGAGTAACCACATGGCCAAATCATGCAAACGGGAAGTTGACACCTTATTTTGCAGTCTATGCCATAAACGTGGTCATGTTTCTAAGGTTTGCATATCAAGTTTGACAAAATCAAATTATCGCAAGGTAAATGCAATATCTCAAGAAGACATAGAACATGATGAATACATCAGTCCTGAGGATGAAACGGATCTTACCTTTTCTATTGGAAGAATTGTTCCTGTCTGTATTACGTCCACTACTTCACCAACAGAGAAATTTACGACAACACTAAACATTGAAACTGGTAAGCTTACGTTTGAAATCGACACTGGAAGTCCAGTAACAATAATTACTTACAAAGACCTTCAACAAGTTTGTCCCAACAGAACTCTTCAGCCAACGTCAACTAAATTTAAAACAATTACTGGTGAAATCTTTGAACCTCTGGGTGTTGCCAAAGTTGAGGTATGGTACAACAACAAATCTACAGACCTGAACTTGTTTGTTGTGGATAACTTAATTTAAAAAATTCCCCTAGATTCTGAACTATCCATTCATAAATGTACCACTTTAGATTGTTCTAAGCTTAAAATGGAAGTTCTTAACAAATATTCAGAACTATTCGAGGAAAAGATTGGCGAGGCCCCATATGTCTGCAATTTAATTCTTAAAGATAATGCTCGTCCAATATTTCTAAAGCCAAGGATAGTTCCTTTTGCACTTTGAGATGAGGTTGAAGCTGAATTAGATCGTTTGGAAAATCAAAACATTATTGAAAAAGTGGACAACGCACAATGGGGAAGTCCTCTAGTGGTCGTTCCAAAGCCAGACGGGAAAGTGAGGCTATACTTTGACTATAAGTGTACCATTAAATCACAGCTTGAAGACACAAGATATCCTATACCAGTCATAGATGAAATCCTTGGTAACATTAGGGGTGGTAATTATTTTTGTCTGCTGGACATCCACAAGGCGTACTTACATATTCCTGTGGACAAAGAAAGTCAGAAGCTACAAGCAATATCTACTCATCGAGGAACCTATTTAATGAAAAGGTTATCTTTTGGCATTAAAACGGCCCCAAGTGAATTTGCCAAGTTCATTGACACAGTGCAACAAGGACTTGAATGCACCCTCGCTTATTTCGATGACATTATAATTTGGGGTTCCACCGTAGAAGAATGTAACTAAAGGTTACATGCTTGTTTGTCTCGTCTAGAAAAGTTCAATTTGCAAGTCGATTTTTTGAAGAGGAAATAACATATCTTGGTCACAAAATCAGCAAGCAAGGAATTCAAAAGAGCCCGGAGAAAGTGAAAGCTATTCTTAATACCCCTAGTCCTACTAATTTAGATGAGGTAAGAACATTCATTGGTTATGTGTCATACTATTCAAAGTTTATTCCTAATGTATCAACCACTATGCATCCAATTTACCAACTCCTCAAAAGGAAAAATGGACGTTTTCAGTGGACAGAAGATTGTGAGAGAGCTGCAAATAAAATCAAGGCAGCGATTGCAAGTGATGATGTTCTAATTGGCTAAAACCCATCATTGTCACTTGTTATGGCAACTGATGCAAGTCCTATAGGGATTTCAGCAGTTTTATCACATGTAATTAACGGTACAGAACGTCCAATATTTTTTGCATCTCGAACACTGACAAATACAGAGAAAAATTATTCTCAACTTGACAGAGAAGCAACAGCTATCTACTGGGCCTTTTTGAAATTCTATCCATATACTTATGGTAGGAAGTTTTCACTTGTGACCGACAACAATCCCCTGACTCACATTTTCAGTTTAAATTCTAAATTGCCGGTCATAACAGCTTCCAGATTGCTTCGATATTCTATGTTCTTGAACGGTTTCAACTTTGATATTATTTTTAGGCGTTCAGCAGACCATGCCAATGCTGATTATTTGTAGAGATTTCCACTACCATCCCCACAAACAGTTGTTGATGAGAATTTCACTATTTATAACCTAACCTTAAATAATATTTCAAGTGAGATAGTCACTTATAAAAATGTACTAGAATAAACTGACAAGGATCCAGAACTTGTTTCTTTGAAACAATCCTTACAAAATGGAACCTGCAAATCCCTTGAATACAGCCTTCAGGAAGGAATAATTTTTCGAGGGGACAGAGTTGTCATTCCAAAACCTCTGCAACGGTATATCCTTCATGAATTACACAGGACACATCAAGGCATTGTTCGTATGAAATCACTAGCCCGAAGGTATTGTTACTGGAAATTGATTGACAAGGACATTGAAGCTGTTGCAAAATCTTGCAGAGCATGTGCAGACGTACAAAACAACCAAATGAAAGCTCCCGCTCACCCCTGGGAACCTCCGCAGAGCAACTGGGAGCGTATACACATTGATTATGCTGGCCCCTTCCTTGGACATCATTTCTTGATTGTGGTAGACAGTTTATCAAAATGGCCTGAGGTGGCCATATGCAGGTCGGCACCTACTACAGATTCAACAATTGTGCATCTCCGGGAAATCTTCAGCCGGAAAGGACTTCCAGTAACAATTGTAAGTGACAATGCTTCAATTTTCACCTCTAATTCTTTTCAAGCATTCTTGTTCCGAAATGGCATACAACACAAGATGATTGCACCTGGTCATCCAGCTACCAACGGAGGTAGTTGCCATTTGCTTGACAATGGGGTGTTTGTGAAACGACATATTGAGCAGCTGAGGAAATCCCAAGTTCCTTATTGTAATAAAACACAAGTAGAACAACTGCAACCAAAACCCACACAGCAAGTAAAGACTCAGCAGAAGACTAATGTAGAAGAAGAGTCCTTCATTATCCAGTGCAGGAATCTGCCGAATCAGGCGCCACAAGTGCACCTTGATGATGAAAATGAGCATGCGCCACAAGTGCACCTTGATGATGAAAATGAGCATACTCGGCAGCAACAAGTTGAACCTCATCCAGTTGATCCTCTTCCACAAGTCGAACCAAAAAGGTCTACAAGGACCCGTCGGCCAGTTGTTAGATTAAACTTGTGAATTGTGTGGTCTGTCTGTTGTGTGGGGAAGACTGTAATACATTCTAATAACCTGTCTTATTAACATTTATCTGAAACAGCTGTAAAATGTTGTTTACATTTTTTCCTATAATAATAACATTTATCTGAAACAGCTGTAAAATGTTATGTTTACATTTTTTCCTATAATAATAAAAGTTCTATTTGGTTCTAACATTTAAAAGAATCATTTTTATTACTGAAATATGTTTTAATAGATATGCCCATAACAGATATCTTTACATAATACAAATATCTTTATTAGCCAGATCTGCAATGTGTTTTAATAATTAATTCATTGTTTATTACCTGATAGTCGAGGCACGCACACTGTCCCCCTCTGATATGAGGTTGTAGGCATGCCACATGTCTTCGGGCTCCTCAGGCATAAGTGTGACTGACCTAAGTAAAAATAAACATTCAAATTAGATAACATTTTAAAAAAGAACATGATCTAACAAAGAAAAGAAACTGTGTTTATTTTTGTGTTCACATTAACACCAACATTATTTTCAAGAGCTTCCAATTTTGCAAAAATAAATCTGTGTATGTAACTTAGGTAGCCTACTAAAATCATGAATAAAAGTTCCTATGTTATTTCCATGATTAACATTATTTTTCACTAAAATTATGTTTGTTCTAATCTTTTACATAAAAATGCCCTCAATACAAAATTTTGGATTATCACAGTTGTTATAATAATGGCCAATTAAGACTTAACTGATTTGTTTGTATCGGGGGCTAGGTTTACACTATTGCAGAATCAATAGATGATAGATGTAGCTTATGGACCACAACTCACTGTTTGATGACACAAAGGTCGGAAAGTTTTAATGTTATTTATTGAGGAGTGGATTTCATTTGACTAAGAATATTTTAAGTTACCCGGTATGACTGGGACGGGTGGCGTCGTCCTGTGATACAGCTACTAGGAGGTCACGAATTGTGGATATTTATAGGCATGCACTGTGGGTGCGATACTCCGTGGTGTGGATTAACGTCCGCGCGAGTGAATACTATGACTATCCGCAGTACTATCCTGATAATTAGACCAATTTGTTTATACCAAGGAAAAATTTGGTTCGGATTCCACTATAAACTGTAGGTCCCTTAGTTGCCATTTAGCTGTTTGAGCTATTAATTAACAGCTGGGTCTAAGGAATGTCGGCCTTAGTCACTAACAAGACAACAAGATCGCGCCACTCATCCTACACTCATCTCCATTCATACTTGGCTTAAAATACCTACTACGTATGGTCGCCATTTCATTGAACAGTATTAACAGTATGGTAATTCTTTTAGCTCCAAAAAGATGTTTACACAAACATATTAAAATGTGTTTAGGACGAGAAGGATGGTGTGCCCTTATAATTCAGGCAGTGTGAACCAGCTGATTACTCTACGAACACCATATGTCCATAGATTTGTTGGCGGCAATATTTGCAATACCTAAAAAAATTTAATGTAGGGATATATCTAACTCATCCTTCTTCACTAAAAATGAAGCGCATATAAGCAAGGCCCCACTAGAAAAACAGGCCATGCTGCAGCGCAACACTATGTCACAGTGGTGGATAGTTGTACAAAAATCTTACTGTACAAATCTGTAAACTGCCAGCTTGTTTACCTAAAACAAATGGGATTATGGCAGTGATTCTGTACACAAGTGTGTCGTCATGGATCCTGCAGCATGGCCTGTTTTTCTAGTGGGGCCTTGCTTATATGCGCTTCATTTTTAGTGAAGAAGTATGAGTTAGATATATCCCTACATTAAATTTTTTTAGGTATTGCAAATATTGCCGCCAACAAATCTATGGACATATGGTGTTCGTAGAGTAATCAGCTGGTTCACACTGCCTGAATTATAAGGGCTTGCATTTTTGAAATAGTAATTTGAAGTGTTTTTCTCAGGATTTTAATTTTACAAAAACAGTCTGCAGACGACATAAACTAACAACTCGATATATTATAACCTAAACTTTAACTTACCTAATCTAACCTACCTTCAAAGGACTTAATGCAGTCACCAATTCACATAAAGCACGACCTATCACCCTGACATGCCTTTTCTGACATCAAAAGGAGTTTGCTTACACATTCTAGAGGTTTGGTTAGGTTAGGTTATGTTAGAATAGCACTATTTTAATGTGTAATTTCTAAACGGCGAAATATAAATCAATAAATCATTAATAAGGATAAAATACTGGTAACAATAATACATTTTTAACTTATTGGTCTTAGAAAGTGAAAAGTGTAACTTAATCAGGTGATTTTCATATTGCAGAATCGAGTTAGCTAATAAAAATTGTCACTTCCATTTGCTTGACCATGATTGAAAACAATCAGCTGGTTGGTTTACTTAACCCATCCCATAGTACATTCCACTTGTAACGTCATCCATCCTACCTTGTTTATTGTAATGTTAAGTATGTTTTTACGGCGATATCTTGAGAAATATTCATCAGCGGTGAAAATAATGGTATATTTGGATTCAGGAGGTAAAAAACTATAAAGTGAGATATCAAAATTAAAAATTCGTTTGGAGGCACCTGTACGGAATAATTACCCTTTAACCCTCCAAGTGTCCATAGTTTAGGCCTTAATGTCCACCTATTTTTGGCGCATTTGCAAGGTTTTATTAAAACGGATCTGAGAAGCTTAAAACAATGTTAATTCTAATGTTCTATATACCATTTTGTTTGGAAAATCATGGGCTTCAATATGATATATAAAACATAAGGAACATTTTTTCAAAAAAAAAAATTTTTAGGTAGCTAAAAAAAATATAATTTCGAAAATTTTCAAAAAAAAAAAATAAGTTTGCGCTCAATGAAATTGTATAAATTATAGGCCTATAAATATTTGAAAATAGCCACTTTGTTCTAAATTTTATGAGGATTACAAATATATAATAATATAAGGAAGTATATTTGCAAATAAATAAGTTATGGGCAAAAAACTGATTTCAGTACATAGCGTTTAGCTAAGAATGCATAGCCTAACCATAGCTAGGAATCTGGCTGATAATTTACATCAATATCACTACCTACTTCTTCAGGATCATCAACCAGCACTTCAAAACCACTTAAATCTTCTTATAATGCACCACGTATATCACTACTTTTGATTTTTAACACTAAAACAATGATAAACGTAATAAAACACATCGGTCATCGGTCCGGGGGAACCTAGCTGTTTACAAATACACGCACGTCAGCTGTCTGCTACAATATTTTCAGAACTAAAATGAATAGCGCTTAGAGACAGACCTCTGGAGAAAGCTTAGAATATTACGGAAAGAACGATACCTAACTCGATCCAGTTCAATCCGATTCAGTCAGTCATAGAGCCTTCGCCGTAAACGATGTCTGCGTGTCGAAAAATCGACAAGTAACACTACACAAAGTGTGCTGCTTGTCGAATTTTCGTCAAGTAACACTGGGAGGGTTAAAGTAATCCAGGCCATGTAAATGGAAATTCAACTAATCCACAGGAGGGGTATTTGATTTGAAACTTGAAAGCTTAACATCTGGAGCTAGGGGTAGATGTGGCTGTTGAGCTAAGTTGGGGAATTCTAAAACTTTAAAGGACGGCGATATCAACGTAATTAGTAGAGAGTAAATTACTCAAATGTGTACTAAACAAACTGTATGATAAGAATTTGGGGAGTACCTAAAGAGATATCAGCAAAGAATAAATATTAGCCTACATAACCTCAAAATATAAATACACTCAAAATCAATTATATAAAATACTTACCCGCCTCCATCTTTATCAACATTCTTGTAAACTAGTTTCATTTTATTAAAGCGCACCCAAAACTTTTCAGCGGTAAATGAAAAATATTTGTAGAGATTATTCGGAAGACAATCATTTTATCTTTAATCCACGTTTGTTTTGTAGGGTTGCCAAAAAAGAACTTTTCATTTCTTCTTCTTCTTTTCTGTTTCTTTTTCTTTTAGCCAGCGAGCCAGCCCACAGCCACTAGCCTAGCCAGTAAGAAAAAACTTATATTGCTCAGCTCACACGATCTTTTACTAGTAGTTCACTAGCGGTGTGCCTATCTAATTCACCGTGAAACTGAGCTAATACTGATTTGTTTTGAAGGTACCTACACTTTATTTTGATTATTGTCCTACGAATAAGACTGGGACGGGTATCGTCGTCCCGTAATCCAGCTACTGGGAGGTCACACTGTGGATGAGATACTCTCTGGTGTGGATTAATGTCCAGTGAGTACTACCATGGTACTACCTAAGGGACAAGCCCTCTTAACTTTAGAATGAATCAAGATTTTTAAAAACGGTTTGTGGCATTGTAATCAGGGTGAAAATCTAGATCGTAATAATAGGTCACAACCCCACCTTTACTTTTGAAAAAATATTTTGCATCCAATATGGCGGATCCAAGATGGTGGCCGGAAATGACCACCTTGTCAAAATGAAGTACTTACTACCCAACAATGTTTGGAAGTGGTTCGGGATTGATATTTGAAAAAATGTAGAAAAAAGTTGGGGGGGGAGTACAATTAAAATTCACTCTGTATATTGTTACTTTGAAGGCACCAGCTGTTCCTTAAAAATACGCTTCAAAACCTTGGAAAATACGCTTAACAATGAGATTGGCCTAAAATTGTTTTTGTCTTTATTTGGTTCACCTGTTTTGAATAGAGGAATAACATTTTTTGCTGTTTTAAATTGAGCTGGGAATATGAATATACCCGCGGACGCCTTTAACTCCAGGGCTTCGAAGTGGCAACGTCGCAAGTGGTGGTGTAACAGCCGTTTTGTTTGGAAGCAGCTAATGGTTTTAGTGTATTTACGAAAGATTGGTTACTGGACTATGACAATACTAGCAGAATACCCGTCCTTCGTAAGGGGTAGTGATGGGACAAACGACTGATTTCAACTATCCGATGTTTCATCCGATGGTTTTTCTTTCATCCGATAGTCTTCAGATGGATGATTCATCCGATGGTTTTTAGTGTAGTGGGGTGGGGAGCGTCCGTGCTGCTTCCGGAGACAGATAAAACTATCCGACTAGAGGTAGAATGCATCTGTTCGCGCGCCTGATCAGTTAGATAGTTTTGTTATTGTGGCGTTTGGCGTTCCTATCCAGCGTCATGTTTTGGAGAATTTATCCGTGCATGAATAAACAGAAAAATATTTGTTTTGCATGATTAAAGAACTAAAATGTACTGTGAGAAAATTACTTCCCTCTTCTATGTTTTATTTTTATAATAAATTTATTTATTTGTTTATTTTTTATCCGTTTAATATTATTTAAAATAAATAATTAATTCGTGCTTAAGGTTTGTTATTTGCTATTTAAGGAGACAATTCCAATTTTTTAAGTTGCTTGGTTATCTAAACTTAATTATTTCATCTTTCGATATTTATTACTCACGTAATAATTTTACGCCTAAAAGGTATCAAGGCTGTTTGTACAAATTATTCATAATAACTACGTAATTAATAAATTAATATCTGCCCGAATGCATTTAAGTTACTGTTGTGCTGACTGCTGAGCATGAGCAGATGATTCACCTGAGAATGGATGAATAAATAACCCATTTACCCCTGTGTAGATAATTAAAATGTAAACAAATTAATTCATCGTGCAAATAAACTAATATTCATTTCACCATTCAATAATTTAAAGAACAGTTTCAGTTGTCAAATAACTAATTCGTAGTTTAAACGAATGAAAATGCGGGACAGATAGTTTTACAATTGGATGAAAGCGTGGAACGGGTGGTTTACAGACAGATGAGATAGTTGACTTGGCTGATTCACTTCACATGTGATAGAATGGATAGTTCATCCGGATGAATATTAAAGTAACCATCGGATGAATCGGTTGGCGCGCAACAACCGGATGAATCGTTTGTTTCTATCGGATAGTTCCCATCACTAGTAAGGGGTTGGCGTTTAAGTATAAAATGCTTATAGAAAGTTATACGGAGTATGTTTTATCTATGGTTATACCATAGATAAAACATATACTCCACTCGTGCTATGCGTTTGCAATGGGAGAACACACGGTTTGAGGAAATTTGGTTCTTTTAATTTACGGTAGGCGATGCTAGTATAACACATACACCATAGCCATTATTTTCTTCACTACACCTAAACAAAATAAACGGTATCAGCAATCTGACACATACTCTCTCCTATTAGCTTGTCAACAACTTCCATCATGGGTAAGCGATGAATTTATCTAACTATGATATTTAAAAGGCAAAATCACAAAAGATGCGCATTAACTTTTGAATACTAATTTTTACAGGTTTAATGAGGAGTTGTAAAATTTTGCTTAGAATTATAAGGACAATAACAGGAGATTTTCGATCAGAGTCGGTTTTTTTCTGAAAAATCATTTTTCTATTTTTTCATGGGTTTTTATGGGTAAATAACATAGCTTACAGGAATTGGAGATCTACTCACAGGCTCATTTCCAAAGGGCTACGCCTGGCATGCTTCCAAAATTTAAATGATTTAATTAAATTTAGTTGATAAAACAGCTGGTTAGTGCAATGAACTGATGTTTGTTTATTTACTCAAAAAAGATGTTTGTGACGCTTTATGGATTGAAGAGGGTTAAGTTTGGTATTCAAGAAAGAAGGTTGTATAACACGTTTTGTAAAGTATTTCTCCAATTGGTAAGTTTAACTTAAGTTTAATTTGTAATACAGGGTTAGGCAAAAGTCTGGAACCCCCCAGTTAATGAGTAGTATTGTACTAAAGTTTTCATATTCTTTTGGATCTATTAACATTAAAAGTAGAGGTTTAAAAGTTAGTAGGTTTACACTTTTAAATCAAATCAAATCAAATCTTTATTGCCAGAACATTTTACAATGCATAGCAGTGTCAACTAGTTACAATAAATATAACTATAAAACAGTCCACAGATAATCACAGACATTTTTAGTAATACTATACATGGTCATTAACATTAAGGAAAAACTCATTTATGTCATATGGACTAATACTAATCAAAAGGTGCTTGTTCCTCTTAAAACAGTTAAATTCTAAACATTTATAATGAGAGGGTAGAGAATTAAACAGTTTTTTTCCCATTTCAACAAAACAATTCAGAGCAATTTTTAAATTACACTGGGAAATTCTAAGTGAGTTACAGTTTCTAGTGAAATAGTTATGAACATTTTTATTTGTAGGTATAGTATGTAAATTTCTTTTAATAAACAACAGACATTCAAAAATATAGGCCTACATTGCAGGTACAGTGAGTATGTTGAATTTCCTAAACAATGGCTTACTGTGAGTCCTCATGTCAACATTTGCTATGACTTTAATAGCACGCTTTTGTTCAATTAGCAATTCCTTAACATTGGTGTCATTACCCCATACAATAATTCCATATGATATATAACTATGAAGGTAGGCATAGTAAACTGTAATGAGAATATCCGTTGTCACAAACGATCTTAGCCTAATCAACATAAAAGTTCCCTTAGATAATTTACTACATAACATTGTGATATGTTTATCCCATTTTACATTGCTTTGGAGAAGAATTCCTAAAAACTTAACAGAATTAATACTCTCATGGGCGTATGGCCTCAAACAAAATTCCAAGTTTTGAGTTTTCTGTTCATTAAGACATAGTGAATTTGCAGCTGACCAGTCCTTAACAGTATCATTAACCCTGATTAGAACATTTTTTGCAAATAAGACATCATTACATTGAATTTGAACAGCCAAATCATCAGCAAACAAAAAAGAATTAACATGGTCATTATTAACAGCAACAGATAGGTCATTCACATATATAATAAAAAATACAGGACCCATAATTGAGCCCTGTGGGACACCAGTTCTTACATCTAAATAATGGGAAAAACAACCATTATAATACACTGCTTGTAGTCTCTCGGTCAAGTAAGATTTCACAAAATCAATGGCTAAGTCGTCAAAACCGTAAAATTTAAGTTTGTGCAACAAAACAGCATGTGAGATAGTGTCAAAAGCTTTTGACATGTCATAGAAGCTGCCAAATACAGTGTTCTTACCATCCAGCCCATAGATACATCTTTTAACAAATTCAGAGATGGCCATATTGGTACCTCTTTTAGGCCTAAAGCCATATTGACAGTCAGTAAATAGAAAGTTATTTTCAAAGTGTGATACAATTTGGCTATTTAGAATTATCTCAAAAACCTTGGATATGACAGGTATAATTGATACAGGTCGATAATTGTTATAATCAGACATGGAACCTTTTTTATGTAGAGGTATGACTTTAACTAGTTTTAAACAATGAGGAAAAACACCAGATTCAATACAAGAATTAAATAAATAGGCCAAAACTTCAGACACATAAGGTGCAGCAACTTTTAAAAAACTAGAATTAAGGTAATACACATCAAGACTCTTACTACTACTCAAAGAGTTAATAGCATTATAAACCTGCTCAACACTAATACACTTCCATGAAAATCTAGAAACATGAGGTATGACCTGCTTAATGTTATCTAAATAAAAGTTCATACTTTGACCAGAATCAGGAATATTATCAACAATATCTCTTACACTACTAATAAAAAAATCATTGAACCCTCCAGAGGTAAGATTTGATTTACTGTTACTACCTTTGGGTGCATCATTTCTACCAGTATTCTCTCTAACAATGGACCACATTTCCTTAGGCTTATTTTTGGCATTAATAACCCGATTTAAATTATGTTGTTTTTTGGCCTTGACAGCTTTTCTGTAATTACACTTTAAGAAATTAAAACTATCTTTGTAAAAGGCTAGACCAGTATACTTAAATTGCTCATACATAAACAAACATTGATCTTTCAAATACTTCAGGTCAGTATTAAACCACTCTTTTTTACAGCATTTAAGTCCACTATCAGACACAGTTTTAACAGGGAAAGCCAAATCTACAATGTTCATAAAGTTACTAAAGAAACAATCAAACTTCTCGTCAAATGTAAGTAGTGTATATACACAAAGCCAATTCATTTTGCTTAACAACATTGTAAAATAGAGTGAAGTAATATGATCAATAGGCCTTATTATTCTATTATTCCCACCTGCTTCCACAGGATCAGCAGTTTTCCCACATTGCAACTGACATTCCAAAACAACAGCAAAATGATCTGAAACTACCATAGGTACAACTTTTGCAGAAATAATTCTATCAGGGTGGACAGTTGTGGCTATGTTATCAAGACAAGACCCTTGGCCTACACCTGGCCTAGTAATTTCACTAATGGTAGTCACCAGGTTAAAACTTGTCAATAAATTTACAAAAACTCGCTTCTCCATGTCATCACATAAAATATTTACATTAAAATCACCACATAGCATTAATGATGAATTAGACTTATTTCTAGAATTAAAAACATATAATACATTAAATAAAGTTTCAATGAACATATCAAAGTTGTTGTCATTTGGCACACGGTATATTCCGATACAGGTTAAGTTGAGCTCTTGTATGTAAGTCGCTGCAATTTTACACGTACTTTGAATTGAGAGTTCTACTAAGTAAGGAATCTCAATGCCCACTCTTCCAGCCTTCACATACAACGCAACACCTCCTCTTTGCCCAGAAGATCTACAGTAAGCACTGATCAAGTTAAAGCCTTGAATATGAAAGTCTGTTATTTCATTTTGAGCTAGCCAATGCTCGCACACACACAGGAAGTCTATGTTATATTTATTACTTAGAGGAATTACTTCATCGACTTTGCCGAGCAGTCCCTGTACATTCCATTGTGCACATACCACATTAGTCCAATTCGAATTGCCTGACAAAGTGTTACTTGGCCTATTTTTTAGTATTGATGTAGGCCTAGGCCTAAAGTCTGAACTAGAGTCAACATTTGTTTTACGTTTGGTTCCACCGCCATTAGAATCGAAGACTAAAGTTTTGCTAGGAATTAAGTGCACAGTTGGATCTATGTAGGACTTCCTAGAGCACTCGCTTGGGGTAAAAAACGCATCTCTCTATTCTGAACGTACTTACGAGGAGCACGAAACTTACTCACAACCACACCTTCAGGCCAAAAGCCTGGGTCCAATAGTTCTTGGCTTAGTTCACATGGGATACCTACTTTAAAGGAGTTGTAGGAGCTATAACGCGTAGCAAGTTTTTCACATACATAGTCATGTTTCTTGTAGTCATTAAGAAAAGCAGTTATTACCTTACTATCAACAGATGTATCAAGACCAGATAGGAAAAGCCACAAAAGCTTTTTAGCAGGCTTTAATGTAGAATTAAGAACACTTACTTCCTTAGTACCATATATTACCTGATATATTAAATCAGTTTATATTACTTTCTCCCCCTATACCATAGTATATGGAGAAAGTATTGTTTTCGTCAAAATTTTCGAGTTTGAGTTTTGAGTGGATATATCCGTTTTGGGTCCCCCTGGACCCAAAAAAGTGGTTTTCAAAGTGATGTCTGTGTGTGTGTGTGTGTGTGTCTGTGTGTCCGTGTGTCTGTGTGTCTGTGTGTCTGTGTGTCTGGATGTGTACAGAGCTAGGGACTACACCTGTGGTCCGATTTCGATGAAATTTGGTATGTAGGTTCTAATCCATAGTATCTCCAGGCGTTTTTTTCATTTTTTTGAAATTTTGATTTTTAATGGGGATTTTCCCATAAAAACCCATAAAAAACTGGAAAAATCGGATTTTCTCAAAAATGGCCCGAACGATTTTGATAAAAATGTAGTATGTTGTAGCCCTTTAAATTCTCAACAAAATGGTACAAATCCCATTTCTGTAAAAATTACGGTTCAAAAGTTATGGTAAATTATGTCATTTTCCCATAAAAACCCCATAAAATAACGAAAAATAGGATTTTAGAAAAAAATCCGGTTTTATTTTAACATAGTATGTTATGGTCCTTAAAATGTTGATAGTTTTTTCATTTTAAAAATTTTTTATTTTTAATGGGAATTTTCCCATAAAACCCCATAAAATAACGGAAAAATAGGATTTTCCCAAAAACGGCCCGAACGATTTTGAGAAAAATGTTGTATGTTATAGTCCTTTATATTCTGAACAAAATGGTACAAATCCCATTTCTGTAAAAATTATGGTTCAAAAGCTATTGTAAATTATGTTATTTTCCCATAAAACCCCATAAAATAACGGAAAAATCCTATTTTTACAAAAATGGCCCGAAAGATTTTGATAAAAATTTAGTATGTAGTCCTTTAAATTGTGAACAAAATTGTATAAATCCCATTTCCGTATATTTACTCTCACCGCTTACACATGATAAAGGTTGTTGACAAACTTATGGGAGAAAGTATGTGTCAGAATGCTGATACCGTTTATTTTTAAACTAAGTCATAGAGTTGCTGTATTTTAAAACACACATCAGCACCACTTTAATAGCTCTCTAGGTCACATTTTCTTCCCGTTGCAAAGCTGCATAGCTGCAAAGCACGGGTATAGCAGCTTGTACCAGTTTGAGTTTATACAAGATACCTGTCTGTTGATCCGATACACTCGATCAGCTGTTTGGTGTTTGATTCCTCACGTTTGTTTTGTTTCACGTTTGTTTTGTTTTGTTTATGTTTCATGTTTCTCGTTATTCCGTTATTGTCATTGTGAAGTGAACATCAAATAACTTGTTGTGTTGTGTTGTGAATATGGTTGTGAATGTGAACGGTGTTCAATATTATTGTTAATATATATTACGGGCAGGGTTGTTGGGTGTAAAAACATGGTTATTTATAAATTCGTTTTTAAATGGTTTATGAAGATTTAATTTGAGCGACTAGGCCTTAATGCAAAGACTAAAACGTTTTTTCAAAAGGAAGTACACAGGTAATAAACAAAGGTAATTCACACAATAACTTAGGCTTACACCGAAATGGTAGCAAAGTTTGCTTGAGGGCTCCAAGCTATGATATTTTTTGCAGGGGTGCCCATCCCCCCCTAGACTCATGACGCAACCCCCCCCCCCTAATTGAGCACCAGCCCCCCCCACAATAAATTAGGTACGGTACACAACAAATGAGAAACATTATCCCCCCGCCCAGCATTATTTGTAAAACTAAAATAAATTTTATACATTTATTTAGATATTGAAAATTCAAACCGAGTTAATCTATATAAATAAAGTTATAGTTTTGTCTGTACATTGCTCAGAATTATACATATTTTGGGTTATTTTTACGTTTATACATTAAAGAAGTTGAAACATTTCTTATTTCAATTTATCACACGGCCCAGAAGGCATTTTACGTAGCCTACTCTAAAGAAAGCTAGAGTACCGATTATGATTCTAATGGTTTTATTGTATTCACAGGATTGGCGAGAGTGTCCTTAGCCATTAAAATATGGCATCACTATTTTGGAAATAAAATAACAGACGATCAAAACCAAAATTTTGTGTGATTTTTTGGTTTTTTTTCTCCATGTTTACCACATACGTCATTTATGAAATACTAATAATGTGTTAAGAGAACACGTCATATATGAAATTAAGAACAGCTGTTTTGATAAAGATTCTTTTTTCTAGCTGTCACTGATATGTTTACATAAATGTTGTTTACGAATACTATGTGTAGGCCCTACCTAACCATTACCGATCACGTTTGTAAGCAAATCCAAAACCAAGTGAGATTAATAACCGTGTGGCCTATATAACGGGTTTGATTTATCACGGGTACTAATATGTAACTGTAAATTAAATTAAATAACTAGCCATCATCCAGGTCGTGAACCGGAGATTCTGTTTGTATCAAGTTGTACTTGAATTTCCATTACCAGGAAAAGACCGTGAATCAGTGTTGTACAGGACTGGAAAACTTAACCAAATTAAGGAATTTTTATTGCCAGAATTTCTACATAGCGTTCGTAACCTCTGCTTAACGAATTGTCAGCGTCTTTCTCTTAATATAACGACCCCCTCTCCCTCCCACATAATCGTTTTGGAAACATCGCAGCTCCTTTGATTAAAATGAAATGGAAAAATGACTTCAACTTCAACGCTTGCGCCAACAATCGTCTGCTCCGTTTTACAATTCTGTCTTCTGTGCGCTATGTTAACAGATTTCAGATACAACAGCTGGGGAATAATGACGATATAATGCTTAGTAAACTGCGATTGAGTGATTAGTAACCATGGTAACTTTAGTAAGGCTGTGATTGGGCAATGAGTAGGCCTAAATATGCTGACTTGTTGAATTTGTGTATGAATTGAAAAGAAACCTAATAAAGAACAAAGAATAAGAATTAAAATATTGTTCTCGTTACATTATTTTTTAAGAGTGTTTTTATTATCTCTAAATATAATTTTAAACTTTTTTATGAATTATCAATCAATTCCTATGTTGTGATACAGCAACTACCGGTAGCCTACCTGTCTATCATGAGCAGTAGCTTATAACACTTTCTAAGGTTTAATTACGTTATTTATAGCATAGTGTTTGGCTAGTTATTAGTTGAGTTTGCGTTAGCTATAATTTTAAACGTTGCCGTTTGTACAACTGAACCAAGATAAATGATTTTAAATGTCATTATTGCACAATAATAATGATTGTACAATATTTAATTTCGTTGATAAAAATGCAAATCGTGACGATAATGGCTGTTCACAGCGTTTTAATGGGTTTGTCATCTGTTTGTATACTATATTGGATTAACCGTATTTTTCATTCCCCCCCTATTAACTCAGGTAATCGAGTATCTACACAATAGTGTAAAGTATTGTAGCCTATGCTACTTGATTGTATTTTAACGAGCTTTTATGTACAAAGCGTGCTGTGCTGAGTCGCGGTGTAGCTGGACGTGTAGGCCTATGTACCACGCGTTACTATCTCAGCAGTTGAGCCATTCCGTGCCCTCCCTCTTAGATCTCACGTCTTGCTAATCTTGAATAATAACTTCCTACACGAATCCTAAACTATCCTCAAATACTATTTTAACTAATTGAATTCAACAATAACTATTGTCATTAATTAATCAACTTTCTATCTGGTGACTTTGTAATATATTTTTTAATGTCGTCACGTTGAACACTGTTGCAATTAACTTTAGCCACCCCCCCCCCATTTGAATTTTTTGAAACCCCCCCCCAAGAATTTCAATGACGCAGTCTGCGTCACAGCCCCCCCTTGTGGGCACCCCTGTTTTTTGTTTCACTCAATAAATGACATTTTATGCAATAGGCCTATTTAAAATAAATAGAAAATCCATAACAGTTTCTTAATTGGGATACGCTTATAACTTAGATATCTATTGAAACCATCGATTAACTGGTACAGTAGAGTCCCGCAAACTCGGCACTCAATAACCCGGCAGTCTGGATAACTCGGCCATCACCTGGCTCAGAAAATTAGTGAATTTTTGAGTCCAAGTTAAACATGGACACAAGCCAGCTCAAGTATAATCATTTGCAACTCGTACTAAGGATTTTTGTACTATATTTGATGACTTAATACTGACTTGTAATATAGGCCTATATCTAATTTAAAAGGGCGGTTAAAAAGCTCAAAAATTGTATTGTTCTTATTTTTAACTCTAGTTCCCGATAAGCCATCATTTCACAAACTCGGCACCCTTCCAGTCCACATTACGCCGAGTTTGCGGGACTCTACTGTAATTATTTACCCTATTTACACTGGGATTTGATGTAATTTTTATATGTCTACTTACAGTTCCTATTTTTAACGCTGAATCCAAAAATGCAATCAGTTTTGGTCGGAGAGATTCCTAAGTGTCCGTACTGTTAAATAATTCATATTAAGCTTAAGTTTTGTTGATTTATTAACATATTTGTGGTATGGACGAGTCCAAGTTCTAGTGGCGACTAAAACTAAAAGGGGTGGAAGGTTTGTGGAGTGGAAACAGCTGTACAGACAAAACCACACACGACATGTGAAAATCGGAATAGGCTAACATTTTAACCCTCCGAGTGTCCCTTGTTTTGGCCTTAATGTCTGCCTATTTTTTGCTCATTTGCAAGGTTTTATTAAAACGGATCTGAGAAGCTTGAAAACAATGTTAATTATACTGTCCGAGGTTAACTAAGCTGTTTACAAATACGCACGTCAGCTGTCTGCTACAATATTTTCGGAACTAAAATGAATAGTGCTTAGAGACAGACCCCCGGAGAAAGCTCTGAATCTGTAAAATAAAACGATACCTAACTCGATCCAGTTCAATCTGATTTTGTCAGTCATAGAGCCTTCGCCGTAAACAGTGTTTGTGGGTCGCTGCAGCGACACAAAACACTACACAAAGTGTGTAATGTGTCGCTGCAGCGACAAATAACACTCGGAGGGTTAAAATGATTCAATTTCTAAAAGCAGACGGACTTCTAAGACGTTCCGAAAATACAATTACACAAAAACAATAACTTAGGCCTACATGAACTATCAATAAAATGGCTGCACTTTACTTTAGGTCCTACACTCATTCGAATGAAAATATCGATCGATATATCGATTAATTGATTGTTTGATTCGATATATCGTTTGGTTAGTTAGGTAGGGTTAACCTAACTAACCAAACGATATATCGAATGAAACAATCGAATAGGCTAATCGATATTTTCATTCGAATGAGTGACTAGGGCCGACATATTCCTTAGACACAGCTATTAATTAATAGCCCATACAGCTAGTGGCAACTAAGGGACCTACAGTTTATAGTGGAATCCGAACCACATTTTTCCTTGTAATTAATGAATTGGTCCAATTATCAGGATAGTACTGCGGATAGTCGTAGTGCTCACTAGTGCGGACTAAAAATAACTCATGGGAGGGGGCCCCGAAAAATAGATTTGCAGGGGGGCCCGAAAAAATCTGTTATACGCCACTGCTGCTTCACATTAATAAATTACAATCCAAGAAAACATAGCCTAATTTGACTTTTTGCAAAATGGTGTCTAGTGGGGTAGATTTGAACAAAGAGCCTGAGGGCTACATTTGAACACCATGTTTTCCTCTGGTAAGCATGTTGTTCAAATGTACCCCAACTGATTATATTTGTTTCCTATACAATACAGTAATGAATATTGATAATTTAAGACTATAAGCTTCCTCAACCAACAATGAGTGTGAGAACTGCACGTGCAGCGAACTAATATAATTTTGCTATTAACTTTGCAACATTTAGCTACAAATAACATGAATCTAAAACATTAAATGAAGAATTAGTTCCAATAGAAATGTTTTTATCAACTCACTTGCATAACGATTTCTTTAAAATAAAAATTTTAATTTTACTTAATTAGTGTGTTCAAATGTACCCCACTTCTTGTTCAAAAATACCCCACCAGTGGAGTACTTTTGACGAAAAGTCAAAAGCATACCTTTGTGAAAACAGATATTGCACATTAACATGTTAACTTGGAGGGTTTAAAAAATAACTCAATTAAAGCTAACATTATGTTACAACTAAATGTAATAATATTTTTATTAAAAACACATAAATTCACCTATTACAAAATTAAAGTTTAAAAAGTGTTTAAATGTGCCCCACTCTCTCCTACCTATTAATACAAAAAGTTATCAAAATCATGTGGATAATCAATAAAATTGTAGGTTACATTAAATCAGTAAAAACTTCTACTTTACGTATTTATAAAAATATAGCAAACAAACAGCATCATCATAGGTCTCTGTGACACACAGAACTTCACTCCGGGAATCCAACTCGCAAGCGGTGACACACGGAGGTGGGGTCCGTGCGGCTCTTCAGGCTTAAATTGATTAGGGGTAGTGGAGGGAAGAGTAAGAGAAAAAAATATTTAATCAGTTTCTAGAAAGAGCCATGTAAGGTATGGTTACTCTTAAAACTGCTGGCACGCGATAGCATATTCTCATATAG